TTGGAAAAGCTGGTAAAAATGCAAGTGAACCCTTTTGTTATTAAATGGTTTTATTCTTTTTTAACAGACAGGACACAGCAGGTAAAATTTAATTCAGGGTTATCTGATGTAGCAACAAGTAGTACAGGGGCGCCACAAGGGTGTGTAAGGTTACCCTTTTTGCTCACCCTCTATACAAACGACTGCGTTAGGCAGCAGACAAATCAATATATTCTTAAATTTTCCGATGACACTGTACTAATGCACCTTTTCACAAAAGAGGCCAGCATCATGGAATACAGAGCGGCTGTAGAATGGTTAGTCAGCTGGTGTGATGACCACAATTTGGAAATTAATGTTAAGAAAACGGAGGAGGTCATCATTGACCCCAGGTCAGTAAGCGATAGGAGCTCTATTGTGGTTTATGATAAAGACATTAAGCAGGTTGATTCATATAAATATTTAGGAGTGAATATTGATCGTGAACTTAAATGGCACTCTCAGGTGTCAAGTCTTTGTGCAAGAATTCATCAGCGATTACACTTTTTACGCAGACTAAGATTATTTGGAGTGAGTAGCAGCATAATGATGACTTTTTATAAAGCAACAATAGAGTCTATTTTAAGATATGGGATTATATTTTGGTTTGGGAATCTGACAGTAAAAATGAAAACCCAAGTAAATAACTGAGACTCCTGATGAGAGTGGCAGGAAAAATCATGGGAATTAAGACACTTGGTTCACTAAAAGACATCTTTGAGTTGTGCACAATCCAACAAGCCAACAAGATTTTATCTGATTCTTCACATGTGCTGTCTGTGGAATATGAGCTGATGAATTCTGGCAGAAGATATAGGGTCCCGTTGTGCAAGCATAATAGATATAAACATTCTTTTGTTCATTTTTCAATTAAGTTGATCAACAGGCAAGTAAGAAAGGATGGTCAAAGACTAAGATAACAGGATTGGTTTGCACAACAGAGGGCAGTGGGGCATATGGTACTTTATTTTTATAATTTTTTTTTTTAAATTACTGATTTTATGAAATCGTATTTATATTAGGAGGTATTTTAGGATTGGATTTTAATGTGTATGTATGTTACATGTTGTCTTGTTGGTGTCTATGTACAGCAGAACCTTTTTTCTAAAACAAATTTCTCCTACGGGAGACAATAAATTTTACCTTGACCTTGATAGGCTACAGGCCAAGTTGGAACAAAAAAAATAAAATAAGCCCCCTGTAACATCTTAACATCTCAACACTCAAAATAGGCCCGGGTACATACACTTAACATTTAAACTGGCCAACACACCAATAAAAATAAGTCTTTCTTAGCAAATGAATTAAAATAAATAATAAATTATGACGGATATTGGGCAATAATGAAATTAAGATAAAGGCTCAGTGGGATTTGTTTTGCCACTTTACAAAATAAGGTGATGGTGAAGCTGAATAATAAAAGAATAATGTCAGCATTAGCCTGTATACTCTGCATACATTATGATTTTATTAATATTTAGTTATAATTTGAAATTCTTTACTCATCAAGATTAGGTTATGTGTTTTGTGGGGGAACATTATTGAATCCACTGTAAATGGCTTTAGCGCAGTCCTGCGCTCACTGAGCAGCACTTAACACCGTTTCTCTGCTGCTGCTACTGGCCGGGATACTTTACTGATTCGGCTAATTTAGCATGTTTTGGGTAGGATTGTTGGTTCATCTTTCACCAGTCAAGAACATCAATTTCATTTTCTATGACAGCGGTTTCAATGCAGCGAGTGGCCTCGTCATGTCCTGTCAGCTCGCTGAACACTGCTCCTTAGTGCTCTACCGTAATACGCAGTATATAAGAGACCGCCAAAATACCTTTATATACCAGCGGCTAGAATGACTGTTAGAATAAAACAGGCGGCTGGCCTGACCACTGACATAATTTGCTCTTTTTGACATCTCTGTCATAATTTGATTAACATTTGCAGGGATGGGTTTCAATGTTGTAACAAACTATTTGATTACTTCCTCGCGCTAATCAAAATGCATCACATGACTGTTCATTTACTGCGCAAGCCCAAGCCCGGCACGACACCGTCTAAAATGATAGAAATAAAGTCCAAACCCAACAAAGATCTTCAGCTGTAGTCTGAACTAGTAACATTGTTTGGTCGAGCTGCAAACAATGCAGGGATTAACCTGGACCTGCTATGACTAGCTGCTGCAACGTCCAGCTGCTGCTTTCGTCCTTTCATGTGATACTCGATGACTTTGAGCCCCATGATCCCCAACGAAAAGGTCTTTTTGCAGAATTTACACATTGCCTCTTTGCCACGTTGTTAAATTTACATTCTCCCATCTTTGCATTTTGAACCTCACATCAACAACCGCGTAATGACAGCACACAGATGCAGACCGGCGTCAGCGTCTGTACTCTGTACCCGACCTACCGTAATAAGCTAATAAATCACGGAGACCGTCATTTCTCTCCTGTTTCACATACTGAATTAATCAACTATTAGATGTTTTACGGTGGACCACTGTGCTTCCCTATTGCCATTAAGCAGACCGGCTGAAAATTTAATACCTACAGCCACTTTACAGTTAAATTTAAGACAATTTAAGACCTTAATTTCCCGGATTGTAATTTAAGACATTTTAAGACTTTTTAAGAACCCGCAGGAACCCTGATGATGTTACAGTTTCTGTAAGCTCGTCGTTAACAGTCCTTAATACTGGCTCAGTAGTTTTAAGTTTTTGCCTGTAACGTCAGAGAGTCTTAGAGCTGCTCTGGCAATGGAGCGATATGCATCCTTTATTGTTGTGTAGCAATGGTCCAAAAAATTATTTTCTCTGGTGGGGCATAAAATATGCTGTTTGAATTTAGGCAGCTCCTGTGTGAGTTTTGTCAGATTAAAATCACAGAAAATGATTAAAATGTCCGTGTGTTGTTGTTCAGTCTCTGTGGTCAATGGCACTACAAATGGCAATACTTTTTTCAGTAACTAGTATTCAAATGTATTACTGTTTCCCCTGTCAAGTCGTCATTACTGTTACTGAAAATAAAATGTGCATAACTATAATTGAGAACACTGAAGCAATTTTCATGTGGGCAGCTTATCTCTCAGACATAGGAACTCTCTTTCTCTGGGGTGTGTTTGTGTGTGCATTTGGGGCTGGGGCGGGACACATAACCAACCAGTGATGATAATTGGTGTGTCTGTGAACTTGCTGAAACTGAAAATGGAATGATTGGCTTAGAGCAGGGCTAGACAGTGTGACCGATTCGCTAGTATTTGCAACTAAAAATAGATGTGTGTAAACTGGAAAACCTATTTAGTCGCACAAGCGCGATACGATTTTCGCCACGGTGAAACAACATGCTCTTCATGCTAAGTTATGGTGTATTATGTTGGAAATCTATTGTGACTGTAGCACACGCTGACGTGATCAAAAACAGCACATCTCTGGTTTTTACTTCACGTCAAGCGATCTTTACATTTTTATCATTTGCCAATCAGAAACAGAGTAGGGCGGGTGTTCACACAAGCACACGCACAGTTGCACAAACCAATTACTAGGAATCAGATTGATGGCCAATTCAACAAGTTCAAATATAGCGTTTGCAAACCTGAAATATAAGCACTACTTTTCCCTCGTTGAGGTGAAAGGCAAAAATGTTTCTGTACCGTGCACAAGAAAAAAAGTTCCTCAATGCGTCGGTGACAAGTAATTCTAATGTAATGAAGCACCTCACATCGTCACATATCGTCACAAAACTAGTGGCTATGCAGGTGATAATGTAAGTAACTATAATGCATTACTACGAACGTGTCCAACACTGTTGTTTGTCATTGACAAAGAGAGACAGCTCTCCAATTTGCTCAACCAATCTGTCAAGATTCACTGCGGTCAGTAATTGCTTTTATGTGTCCAGTTTTCTACAGTTATGATCATTGTAGCAGTGAAAAGAGGGATGTTGATAAGCCCTTTCATGTTTATTGGCTACTTTCTTTTCTCAGTCTTTTCTCAATGTAAATTTCACTCCAGAGGGATTAATGTTATAATGTTTCTCCTTTTGGGAGAAAAAATATATATTAATAAAGACCAAGACACCTCTGACTGAAAATCACAACCAAAAGCGGCATAAGTTTTGGTGCATTTATAATAATCAAAAACAACAGTAGCACCCATGGTCAAAAAAAAAGTATATTTTTAAATAATATAAATATGTTTTTTTTTTCTTTTTTTTCTTTATATTATAGTAAGGCATACATGTCTTGATACCCAGGGTACCCTTTATTGTTGTTAATATTGCTCTCTTACAAGTCTAAGGCCATTTCCACATGTGCATGGGTGCTTTAACAAACAGGGCTTTCCCTGTTTTTTTTTTTTGTTTGTTTTTTGTTTTTGTTGTTGTTTTTGTTTTTAATCTTAGGGAATCTGTGGAATTTGCATGTTTTGCATTTGGTGTCAACCGAGCCATTTTGGCTGAGGTGAAAAACCTCCGGCTGTAGTTTCCATATGACTACATTGTACTGAAAGTGCCACACAAGTGTACCACATGTGATACTGTGCTTTTTGTGTTTTTGAGTGGACAAAAAGCAAAATCACATAAAAAAGTGTGGTTTTGAAAATTCTTGTGTTTGTGTGGACAGGGCCTAATTTGTTGTATAGTTCTGGAGGCATGATAGTATCTCAACTGTCTTGCTCTAAAAGATGATTTGAACATAAATCAAATCAAATCAAATCACTTTTATTGTCACATCAGCAGCACGTGTGCTAATAATGTCATATTATAGGCAAATACACACTTGCTGCTGTTGCTGCAGTGCTGGAAGGCAAATATTCTGATAGCCATCTGCTAAATGACTACATTCACTTAAAATCACTTAAATTTTGCCCATATTGAATAAAAAAGGCTAACTTGGACTCATCAATGTGCTCATATATAATTGTTCTTTTCTGGGTTTGATTGGTTCTGTTGTACTGGTAAAGATGTTCCGAAAATACAAAGAAATACACTTACCGAAGAATCTCCTTGCGTGTGAAGAAGGTACAATCCTACGATCAAAAAGAATAGAAAAATTACTTCCCTGAACAAACATATGACTGCGACATTATACTTTTAATATATTAAATTGGTAACACTTTCCAATAACAATACATGAACAATGATGTGTTAATGTGTAAACTAAACATTAACTTATTATGAGCTAATGATGAGTTTTAACTACAACATGAGTTCATGAGTGAATAATGGCTACCTTAATTACTTTTTAGTATATGATTATTGGGTAAGTAACATTATTACATCATTATTCATGTACTGTTATTGTAACGTGTTACCATTTAATTTACATCTGACATAAACCCCAAGCAATATCATTTGATGAAACAAATAATTGTGGAATATTTGTCTCCAACACAATAGGTCCCTCAGCTCTTTCTCTTCAAATGAAATCCAGTTCCCAGAAAGAAAACCAAAGAGGAATATTCTGTATTTCAGTGCTTCATAAAAGGCATTCTGAGAATTTTACTTTGTGATTATTTTGATTTCATTCTGATCTATTACTAGAACAAGATCAATCACATTCTCCATGTTATTCAGGTCCTCCAGAAGCTTCAAGAGAACACCCTACTGCTTGGTAACTTTAGTCACACAATCACTCTCTAGATCCTTCTTATTGACTATTTCTGGAGGGTGGAAAAATTTTAGTAATAAAGTATTACAAGCAGTTATGATTATTTGACTCTTTATGATGAATTGCTTTTTTGTGTCCCATAATCAATTGTTGTATTTCTTAAGAAGGCAGTTAAGACCTAGGTATATGTTCACTGTATGTGTGTGTGTTCTCATTCCTCACTCAATAGCCGCGTTTCCACTATCGAGCCTAAAGCGAGCGAGCCAGGGCAAGCCAAGGCCAGTGGCGTTTCCACTGTCACTTCCGGGGCCTAATTGGGCCAAAGCGGGGCTTTCTTGGGGCCAGCGGCCGGTCTTTTTCGGCCCGCCGAATACCTTGGGCCAAGGAGGGCCAGCTGGGGCTTCGGGGCGGAGTGAAAGGAGAGGTGGGCAGTTTTCTGATCGCACACGAGTACATGCGCCAAACAAATAAATAAATAAGGGAAAGAAAACATCTGGCCTTATAGTCTGGGGTCTTTTTGCGTATGATCGCCCTTATGTTTCCCTTTTAAATGTAAGGCTGCTGCATAAAATAATTAAGTAGTTTTAATTTATAGTGACGTTCTTTGCTGCGTCCTCCTTTATGTTTCAATAACGCATAACAATCATTACACCATATTAAAAACACAGTAGACAATAAAGGTTTTCGAGAGTTTTTGTCAAGTTTAAAATTTGAATTTAAATGCCTGTTGAGCTCTTTTGATGCTGCGAACGGGCAGATATTAAGATAATACACAATATAAATACAACAGAAAAACATAAAACTTGACAAATTACGTGCCCACTTTCGTAGACTTTAAACAATATAGTGTCATATCTTGATAAAATAGCCTAAGCTATATTGAAATATAATTTAAAGAATTACAAATATCGGATATATATAAAATCGCATTAAATAAATAAACCAATATAAAATAAACAAAAGCTAGCTATAACAATGTAGGTAGCCTATATACAATACATAAATCAAACCGTTTTAAAGCCACATATAGCCTAACTTTCATTTTACAAAGACCTGAAAAAAAGGTTTTTGGTAATTTCCAAAAACAATAAACACCGGAGAAGGTTTGAAATATTGTTTATAAAGTATTTGGATACGATGATATTAATCAAATCGCGCAAACAGAGCATTATTTGGGTGAGTGAAAGCAGAATACAAAATGTGTTCTATATCCTCAAACAAGTGTTTATATTTTTATAAGATGTGGTTAAATTTATAAATGAAACTTTAAATGAAGAGCTTTAGTGAATAGCTAAAACACAAAATGTGTTCTATATCCTCAAACAAGTGTTTATGTTTTTATATGATGTGGTTAAATTTATAAATGAAACTTTAAATGAAGAGCTTTAGTGAATAGCTGCTGAGCGCAACAAATATGGCTATATTTTATTAGGCTACTCGCTCTTGTGCCGGAAACACGACGTCAATCAAAACGAGGATGTTATAAAATACATTCCATATCGAGTTATAAAGGAGAATTTCTGTAGCTTTATATTATGAACGGCTGCGCTCATTGTGATGGGTCCCTGCGTTAGTGGCGAGAGCACTCGATGCACAATGCCAACAGTCGGTCGGCGAGTACACAAATGTAATGAATAGAAATACACAGGTCTGTGCGTATAGACATTTCATGTACTGCTGTACAGAAATGTGTCATTTGTTTGTTTCGGTTGATTTTAATGGTTTTGTTTCGTGATGATTCTATGGTGTGCTTTATTTGCCTCATTCCCGCTGAAGTGGGCGGGTTGTGTGACGTTTGATTCGAAGACGTTTTGTGGGCGGTGTTCGCGTGACGCGCTGTGAGCTACTAGCCCGACAGTGGAAACGCGACATGATTTCGGCCTCATTTCTCAACCTCTCGGGCTATTGGCTCGGCCCGGCCCGGCCCGGCCCGATTAAAGCCCTGGCTCACACTGGCGCGATAGTGGAAATGCGGCTAAAATGTGTGTGTGAACTTGGATGGCTTAAAAGCAGAGAACCAATTTTGAGTATGGGTAAAACATTACCCAACAAGGTTCACTTCGCTTTACTGTATCCCCAATGCCTAGTTTACTCTACACAACTTTTAGCTTCAACAGATTGCTGTGCTGTTCAGACTACATGAGTTGATTGTTTGTCTTTCACACACACACAATTGGACAACTTCTCTGTCACCCAACAACTTTATCCAATCTCCAAAATACAGTGAAATACTGTATATGTTCAGAGAGTAAAATTGCCTACTTGTGTGATGATGACCTTCCATAGGCGGAACGTGTTAAAGGCTGGGGAAGGCTTAGCCTTCCAACAAAACCAAAAGTGCTGGCCAGCAAACTATTCTGGGGTGCGTTTCCGAAAACAATTATTAGCCAACTAAGGTTGCAAGTTCCATCGTTACAAACATAGTTAATTGATTTGACGTTTCCCAAATAGGTCGTTCCAAAGAACATTCGCAAACTGTTTCGCAAACTTGTGCACTTGCAACTACACCTCTGGAGCTGTAGTTAGAAACATAGTTCCAGGCTGTGACCTATTCCCAGTTATCCCAACTATGCCCTACTCATTTAGAACATTCTAATATTTAAACTATATTTTATAGTAGGTTATTTTTTAAGAGATGTAGCCTTCAAAAAAAAAAAAAAACAATATCCTACTTATAATAATAAAAATCATCATCATTACAATTAATATTATTATTAAAGTATGATTTTTTTACATTTCCTCATAAAAATAAATATAAAATTAAATTTCTTAATAAATAGACTCCTTATTTATTGATTTAATTTATATATTATATTAGAATATGTGTTTGCTTTTGTAAGTGATTTTATGAATAGAATATTTGTAAAGGTAACATAGGATATGTGCCATTTACATATATTTCAATTATTATGGAAAGCAAGTGCATGTTTTACCAAAACCAATGTTGGATTTTTTTAAAAAATGTGTTTGCGTGTCAAACAATATAATTTGCACAAAGAAATTATGGGGTTCTCATCTAAAGAAACTGTTACTCCACTCCATTCCGAGCATCATTATGGACATTTTCCATTATAACTAACAAGGTTCAAATGATAGATGTGCGACAGAGAAACTACGTTTTTTGGGTAACCCTTGTCGCTACATTGTTCTTTTCCCGAATAATGCATCGTACTATGGTAGTTCAGCTGCAAGTTATGTTGTTGTTTGAGAGACTGCACATTGCATTGCATTTCCTAAAAGCAGAGATATCATAAAAGCAATTTTAAAAACATCAGTCGGATACAATAAATATTGCATTTCAAACACAAGTAAACATTGTAATAGAAACCCTTTGCACTCAGGCCTAGGTAGGGCACCGGGCGAACCATGAAGACAATGTGGAAATGTGGATGTGGAAGTGCTGAATGTCAGTGGTGAAGGTGCACAAAGCATAACAATTGACTTCCATAGTATTTGTTTTCCTACTAATGAAGTCAGTGGTTACAAGTTTTCAGCTTTCTTCTAAACATCTTCTTTTGTGATGAACAGAAGAAATTCATTAAGGTTTGGAACAACTTGAGGGAGAGTAAAATTATTATGTCCTGACAATAAGTAAAGGCACTTTTTATTCACAGGAGCAAGCATTCATCTTGTAGAAGAAAAAATAATATTTGAGGTGAATTAAAGATTCACCTTTTCCATGCTTCGTGTTAACAGTAAGAATTCTGCAGAAGGATTGGAGTCTGTAGTATAAAAAAATTACACTAACTTTTTCATCACATTATCTCCTTTTTAATTATAAGCAAATATATATAAGACATCAAACTGCTTCGATCACATGTCATGTTCGTAACGGTTTAACAAAAAAGTTTATAGTGTATAATAAATATTATCACAAATAAAATGAAACTTTACATACGAAGACAAAATATGTCCATGCTAATTATGATCGACAACTCCTTTCAGGTCTTTGCTCTAAACAACCATAATTTTGTGTAACAGACATGATCATTTTGAACTCCCTATTAATACAAGCAAATGACTAACATTTATTTGCTCATTATGATGCTGCATTACATTTACTGACTTACACTACATAATATCCATATGCTATATCAAGAACTTTAGGTGTTTAGGAGTTTAGGTGAGAACTTTAGGAGTTTAGGTGAGAGTAAGTAAAACTGGCCACAATTTAATTTGCCTAGCAGGGAAATATATCTTTTAAATACTTTAAATACAAAGGTTGGTTATTTTATATTTATGTAGCTGTGATTTTGTTGGAGATAACTTTCATGAGAAACTGAAAAGACAGCATTTATCTTGTTAAAAAGTCTTTCCTCAGCACTGTCATGATCGCTCTGTGTAGGCAACATTGTACAAAATCTTTACAAGGGGAAATTTGGTGCAACGCAATCTTCCATAACTTAAACTTAAATCTGC